GCCTTTGATCTCAAAACCAACAAGTTGTCTCGTGTAGATCTCCTACTCCAAATATCCATAGAGAACGTCTGTAACTACATCTATCTAATCCATTACAAGATCAAATATCGCAGCAAGTGCACATATCAGACAAATTGTAGCATACTTAGCTACACGTGAAAAAACTTCTTTATAGTCCACATACTTCTCTTGTGTGAAATCTCTAGCCACTAGCCTAACTTTGAAGATTCTTGCCTTGTCTCCTGCTTGATTGTCCTTCAGCTTGTATATCTACTTGGAGTCAATCAGCGTTTGATCCGTAGAAGCCTCAATCAACTCCTAAATCTTATTGTCAAATCAGGGATTCCATCTCCCGCTTCATAGCAACATTTCACTCAAGCTTGTTGATCAAAGCTTGATCTTACCTGTATAAAGAAGGTTCACCTTCTTCCAAAATCAAAGCCATATGATCCCCATCTTTGACATCAAAGTCACAATCTTTGAGAATAGTTGAATTTGCTCATACACTAAACCTTAGAAGAGCTCTACTAGGACGATGCGATCTCATAGTAGATGTTTCCGGTTGATTTTAATCGTCTGAAACTATTGCGATAGGCTCATCAATCATAACTCGCTCATGTTCCTCCTATTCTTGATGCACCGGTGCTTCTTTTTGTGATAGATCATTGGTGATATAATAATCAAACTCCCTCACAACGACATCCGTGATTGGAGATTTTCCCTTGTAAGTACGAGGAGCCTTAGAATTTTCCCCCTTTATCGTCTATAAAAGATACATAGTAGAGCTTTCCTGAGAGTGAGGCACTAGGAGATGGCCCCCACACGTCACTATGTATATACACCAATATCTCTGTGGAATTATGAGTTTCAACACTAAAAACTCGCATATGCTATTTTTCCATGATGCAATGTTCACAATATGCAAAGTCAACTTTCGGTAACACTTTTTTCTCATCAAAAAGAGACAAGTACCTATCACTCATATGACATAGTCTAGAATGCTATAAATGAGAAATATCTACGCAAGATCGGGTAAAGTTAACTTCACCACACATTGTGATGCCCTCTAATAAGTACAGGTTATATTGTGCTTGTATCCCCTAAGTATAACCTTCTTATCACTGGATTTGACATCTAACACGCCCTGCCTAAAGCTCCACTCTAAGCCATGTGAGTCTAACAATCCATGAGAGATCAAGTTTTTTCTCATGTTAGTTATAAACCTAACTTGTGTTAGTGTTCGATTGACACCATCAAACACAAGTTAGGTTAATATTACACAAGTTTATTTTACATTTATGGAGAATGACCAACCTTATAAGATTGAGGATGTGGGATTTGTAAAAATTCGCATGTTGTGGAATCTGTAAAACTCTGCATGTCCAAAGATCCCACACCCTCAATCTTACAAGGTTGGTCATTCTCCATAAGAACGGCATCGTTTGATCTTGAGAAAGTACAGAAGAACTCTCTAATGTAACAAATGTGATTGGAACAAACACTATCCAAAATCCATACATCACCAACGACCGTTGGTGAACTACAGAGGTCATACCTCTAGCATCATAGACCGTCGGTAAACATGTCTTCTTCTTCTGAGTGAAGATGCTCCGCAACATTTGCCACTTGAAGGAGATTCGCATCTCTTACTATCATCCAACAGTACTTCTTGAGGTGGTCATTCTTGCCACATCATTAACACACCAAGTTCTTCAAGTTTCTCTTGTTAGGGGATGGAACCCAAGATTGAACAATCCTTCGCTCTAGGGATCTAGATCTCTGCCTCTTGAATTCAGTTTGCTGCAAATTGTCCAGATCCAATGGTTGCGTCTGACCACAGGTCAGAGTAAGTGCAGTACTTGAAGTGAGTGGACGATAGAATGAAAACATCTCCTGTACTACCTCGTCCGCCAGGAGAGCACTTACAACCTTGTTATCACAATGAAGAAGAATCTTTGACAGTGTCTGGTAGGAGGAAGACAATGAAAGGAGTAGATGCATAGCTTTCTTAATGTCAGAAAGCTCCTCTCCCATACTCTGAAGATCTATCAACAAATCTCCGTAGGAGTGAATGTGATCTTGAATTCTTGATCTGGGTCTCATCATGAAGTTCAATAGCCTCATGTAGGTGTTCATCACATGTGATATTTCCTTCTAATGAAACCGTCTCTGTAGGGCATCAAAAAGCTGTGTAACCTCAAAATACTCCTCAACTTGGTTAATAACCAAAAGATCTAAATAACCCATCACAATGTAGACTGCTTGCTTTTGTGAATCTCTCCGATCAATGTGAGTAATGTGCATTGGTTTGTCTCTAAGCACATTAGCGAGGCCCATAGATCTCAGCTTGACTTCCACTTGCTTTTTCCATAGCAAGTAATCACCTCAGCCATAAAGAGGAAAAAATTTTGTACCTTGTTCCTCCAACTTGTTTCGATGTTCAGTCCTACCTCGGGGGAAGTAGGGGGGGTTCTCCGCTGCTCGGGGGCCTGCCTTGGAGCAAGGGTGGGAGGGGTTCTCGCCTCGGGATGGAGTGGTTCTCCGCCGCTTGGGGGCCTTGCCCATTGACATGCCCGACCTGTGCGAGGGGTGGGAGTTTGCACTCGGGCCGCTGACCAAACTCTGCGGGCCTTTGCTGCCTTTTGCTACTGCACTATTTCTGCGCGGCCTCCGCTGCCTTACGCCGCCAATGCCCACTGCCCGAATCTGCTCGCCGCTGTCCGAAGTCCGAGAAGAAGAAGGGGGGAACACCTCCTTTTCGCCTCCCAGAAAAAATCCGCCGCTTCGCTTCTGCTTGGGAGTCTCGGCCGCTTGTACTCTCCTCCCAACCTAGCTCACACACTTTCTGATACTGTCACTCTATTTCTTGTCACCTCAAAGAATCACACACTTTCTGATATTGTCATTGAAATTTGTCACCTCAAAAAATCAGAGACTTTTTGATACTGTCACTGAAAACTGTTAGAGATTCACATAGAAACTTAGCAACGTTCAGTAAAAGTAAAATTTGAAATCATTTTCACTGTACACACTTTACTTGGAAAATCCTTACTAAACATTAAACAACCTGTCAGCAAAGCTTCAATCACAATAAACAACTTATATAGTCATGACTAAAACGTTTTATCAATGTCTACCCCTGATGAAAATTGTCTAGTGAGTTTTGGAAAAAACTCTGAGACTACAAAAAACTGAAAAACTGTCTACACAGTTCTGGAAAAACTCTAAGACTACAAAAAAGCTGTTGACAAAAATTTTGACACCGGAAAAACTGAAAATTTCTTCTATTAACAAATTCTCATGAAGTAAGACAAAAGCCTGCAAAGTTCTGAAACAACTATGAGACTACAAAAAACTGTAGACAAAATTCTAAAACTGAAAAAAATTGAAAATTTCTTCTATTTACAAACTTTCAGAAAGTAAAATAAACTTTTCAGTGTACATGTAAGTGAAAAAACACCTAAACAAAAACCTGGATTCTACTCCAAAACGTAAAACCAAGCGTCACTCAAGTCAATCACAAACACAGGAGACAATCATATAACGTGGTTCACCCTCAGGGGTTACGTCCACGGCTGAAACTCACAAGAAAATTTACTAACAATTGAATACTGAATGCAGATTTGAGTAAAAGCTTTGGGGGTATATTTATACCCAAAGCCAGCGACACACCTAACTATAAATAGCTAACCCGAGGTTACTCCTTAACATGAGTTAAACTTAACAAGATTTTTTTGATTTCTAATAAATTTTTATATATTGATATTTTTTTATTTATTTTTTGTCTAGATATTGAATGAAAAAATCAGATATCAAATTTACTGTAGTTTTTAATCATCTCAAAATATAAGATGTTTTAATTTTGTAAAATTCATCTTATTTTTACAAAAATTCACAAATATAAACAAAAATATTAGATAGTTTTGCTTTCAAATATTACAATATTTATATATCATAATTAGTTTCAATATTGACTTTTAAATTTGAAAAACAGACTTAATATCTTTGATAATTCATTGATATCATTAGCAACAAAAGCTATTTCAAAAACTCTGGTTACGGTTCAAAGTAGTTGAGCAAGATAAATGTTAACTGTACGAAATTTTAGTGGAAAGTGCTAAGATTTGCTTGAGTCGTGGAGAATCATCCACTGTTTGTACTCGACTTCTCGATTTGTGCGTGTCATCCTTGCGGCAGGGCCATGCTAATCTTCTCTGTATCGTTACAATTTTATTTCCCCGAAAGTATATTGCTATTACTAGTGCCATTGCCAACACGAACGAAAGGAGTAAAGGAGGGAAGAAAATGAGTTCACATTCAAGTTTGAGAATGTGACAGTGAGACTTGAAAAGTCGAATCACAATTATGATACCCTACTATTTAGTGTTCTAGCTGATCATCATGCCCAAAGGTGTCATCATCATGATCCTGAATCCTAATAAAATCGATAGGATTGTAGATTCAAGCATTTGTGTATGAGGTTCAGACAGGGATTCAGGATCATGATGTACAATCATTCAGAATACAAACGTAGAGTGGTAGGCCATACAGAGCCCGCTATCAGAACTTCCTTGCAGTCAGAGAGCAGTCAAAGACAGGAGTTTTGAACCCAAACTTGCCCAGTTTCAGTCTATCTCCTGAGATGGACTTCGCGTTAAACTTTGCAAACGGATAAAACTGAAAGCAACTATGGCAGTCAATGATTACCGTTTGGAACCAAAAAAAGAATTAAAAAAAATACTGTCCGTGCATGCAGAAGAGTTGATCTGTCCATGAATCCAAGTTCGAACTTCAAACTTGCTCTGTAACCTGTGTCGGCCAGAATGTCACCATATACGTAATTTACTGGTCGGAAACAGTACGCCCAAAAGTGTCCATACATAATATTACACGTCGCCCCGTTCCATGTTGCCGTTGGGACCACAAGGAGCACTGTCGTGCGAGAAGGAAGTGAAGTAGGATCACACATTTGGTTTCCTTCAGGACTTTCATGATGTGGGGAGAGTACGCACGGGAAGAGGTGGAGGCGAGTAATTCCCGAGGATTGGTAAAAGTCACACACCATTCTCCAGCTAGAGCTAGTGGCATCTGCCAGTAGCACTCGTTATAGGTGCCCCTCTCATTTACAATTGAAGCTCCTTCGAGAAGAATAAGATTGCCCGATGGCTTCGATGCAAGAGCTGTATGCTGCTTTCTTCAGTCGTTCCAGTGATCTTATCCCTTCAGATGTGAAAGAGCTTGACGGGAATTTGTGGAGAAATCTGCCTGAATATGTCACGGACAGTTTGATCAAACGACTTTCGTTCTGCGAACGAGTTCCCTTGCGACAAGTCTGCAGATCATGGTTAGAAGGTAGTCTCTCTCATTTGCCAACAAGCGATGTTGAACTCCAATCTCTGCCGATCTTGGTGGGAAATTGGTCTTTGACAGTTTATAATGTAAAAAGAAACGCTTGGAGAGAAAAATCTTTGAAAGACGTATACCTCAATGATATGGTGAAAGGGCTGGAGTCAGCAGGTGGACTGATCTGTGCAGTCACCAGGCACTCAGAAAACCTGCTGATCGTTCACAATCCGTTCACAAACCAGAGCAAGTACTTGATAGCACCGAAAGCATTCAAAGCTCCTTTCGAGCAGAGCTCAAATCCCAGTTATATGTTCGGGCCACCCAGACTTCGCTCTCTAAGCGACATAGCTCTTCACTATGACGCAATGACTGGTATGTACAGAAGTATACTTGGGTTGGTTTGTGATAAGCAGAAAGCAAGTTACACCATCATCCTTGCAAATACTTACCACGACACTCATCGCACAACCTTTGTATACGATTCTCTCACGAATTCTTGGACGGAATGTGACAAAGTACCTAAGGAGATAATGTTCTGGTATGGTGGTGAAAGCCGCATCGTCTGCAACGAAAGTTTATACTGTTTGGCTAAAGGAAAGTATTTTCCTCAAGGGTACCTCGAATGCATGCTGGTCAAGTTTAACTTGTGTTCCCGAAAGTGGACGTATTTCCCCGTGCCAGAGGACTGCAACGAAGACCACCCTTTCCTGGTGGAACACAGGAAAAATGTAATCTTCATATCACAAAGAGATGAACCTCGAACACTGCAGTTTTACCGATTTGACGAATCGAATGGCTGGGGTTGTTGGCAGTCAATGAAGTCGATGCCCAGCACATTATGGACGGAGTTTGTGGGAAAAGCTGATCAGTGTCTGTCTCGTTGTGTTGGCAAAGGCAACCTGATCTACCTCACTGGGCAAAAGCGAAAAGGATCTGGAGTTGTAGCTTTGGTGTTTGATCCCACTAGGTGTGTCTACAAATGGCTTCCAGAGTTGAAGGACGATCATCTCATGAGCGAGCTTCGTTGCTACGAGCCTTCATTGCAACCAGTGTGAAAGAAGCTCTGTCTTTCTCAAGTATGACTTCAATAGAAGAGTATTCAAGCGAAAAAAAAAATCACATGCAGGCATTAGTATATCACAGTTGTTAGTGTTCTGGTTGAGTGGACAGTGCAGATGCTCTATATGTGACAGATCCATCTGCATTCTTTTATGTAGAACCTGTAACTAAGAATGCAGCTCTACTTAGTTCATAGAGAATTTGTACATAAATCACAACAGTCGGTGGACTTTAACTCCGTGATCTTGTAACTGAAGGCTTGTCCTACAGACGTCGATGTATTAGCTCATCTAGGCAATAGGCCTTCTAGGTAATAGGCCTCCATCACATTCAGGGCCAACTAGGAACATTCGCATGGAAATTGTTCACAACTGAAAGGACAGTCGCAGGGTTAATCTCTAGCCCTGTTCATTTCCTGTCGCTTATAAAACTTGCAGTCAGACAGAACCACTGCAGAACTTTCGTGAAGTGGAGATAGCATGCATTTTTTGCCTGATTGAAACTACGATCGGAATGAGTGTGTGAACACTATCGTCGTATGTACATGCTTTCATCTTGGGAAAGGGGCTACAGTAGTAGCAGTGCATTTTCAGGTTAAAGATTCACGCTTGAAGTATTTTTTTATTATTATTTTTTTTTTTTATTTCATAATTTTTCTGGACTCTGCACAAGGTTAGCGCAGGAGGGAATTCGATTCTGCAGAACCCAGGCGACGTGTCCATCCTTTATTCTATTATCGTAAGCTCTCATCTGCTGCTATATTTCTGGCATCCGACAAACGTAGAAAACCAACAGAGATGTGTAATCTTCGCAATGTGATACACGCATTGACTTGCCCATGTTTCGTCCGTCGGAGATATCTTTTCAAAAAGATGAAAGAAAGAAAGAAAAAGAGCCTATCTTGCGGAGATGTCTATCCTTCCCCCATGCCTTACGGACTTCAAGATCTGATTGCCTGAAGACAGGAAGGTCCAACGGCGAGACATGGGAGGAACTATTCAAGATTTATTGCCCGTTTGAGAAGCTCAACGAAAGGTTTTACGTTTGTCATTTCAACCTCAGACGGATGTAGCTGTGAGCGTCCATTTGATCAGACCCGTTATGCTGCAGCCTGTCGGCAGAACACAAATTCTCGATCGGGCAGAAGTTTCAGACTCATGGACCGAGCTTCGCAGCTTTGGTCCTGCTCATAATTCGTTTTGACCGCACGGTTTCAGGTGCTTTGCCTCAGCTTATGCCATTATCTCCACCTTTTTCTCCTCTCACTGTATTAGACGACAACATATGCAGTCATATTTTTTTGATTAGCGTCACACGCTGGAATCACATTTATATACCGGCAGATCTTGATATCGAAGTTTTTAAGATTTTAGAGGTTCCATGAGCTTTTACCGGTATGATCGTGGGTAAGGAGAAGTGTGGACTGAGATCATGGAGGTGGACTAGAGATGCGTCAGCTACTGGCTCTAACATCACTCGAAGATGAGTACTACCTTTGCAAATGGGACTGTGCAACCTCTAAGTCACAGGAGAGTGCGGGATCTGCGGCAATGAATGTGAACTGTATTTACACAAGCACCTGTTCCAAGATCTGAAGGAAAACAGAAGATCTTCATAAAAAGAGAACGATTGTGTAATCTGAGGTCACATCTATGGACCAGGTTCAGTGGTATGCATGGCTCCAACTGCCTTCCCCATAAACCAGTCGGTATCGACTTGCACACTTCTTTCCTCTTTCTAACCTTCAGCGTAGTCTTCACAAACCTGACTTACATGTACTTCCTCCTTCTATGTTGAATGGGGTACAAAACTTATTTGGGGTATACCACGCTTCCTTGCAATGATTATGATTCTACAGAATTTTATGGCCATAGAAGACTCATTCTTACGGTACTCAAAATGATTTCATGGCATGCCGCTATTTCCTTGCTCAAAGAAGTGCGGAAAGTGTAAATCAGAAGAGACTGAACCCACTCAAAGAAAATGAATGAAATCCCATTGTATCATAATAAGACGTATATTTTATTATTGTATACAACATATAATATATACAGTTACAGCTTGTGCCTTTTGATTCATCTCTAAAATATTAAATAAAAGTGTGTGCAAATAACATGCTCTGACATGAGACGTAACATGACTTTTGTCGTGAAAACACGAACAGGTTAGTGTCTTGCGTTTGCACGACACTTAATGTCGGTGGAAACTTTTATATTTCACAGTGCAGTTGTCGTACTTCACCTGAAAGCGGATTGCGGGAAGGGAATCGTTGGTTGGTGAGCTGATCCCCGTGAAAACTAACATGAGAACTTTAGAAACTTCTTTTGGAATCAAGCATCATTCAGTTTGGATTCACTGCTGTGATCGGAGTAAGCAATGCAACTCGTCCTCAATTCAATGTTTCTGCCAGCGAGCAGAATCCAGCTGTTAGTGACAAGACTGTCAAATAGTGCTCGACATGCGTTGGAAGAAGTTTCGGGACCGACAGTACTTGACATCGGACAAAAACGCTAGTGGCAGTGGTGTTATGTCGACTATATAAATTCAGATTGAAGCCAATTTGACCATGATCTTATTGATCTTCTCCTTTTATGCAGACATGTCAATGAGGTAGTCTAGTTGGAGAAAATATGTGATCTTGTCAAAGAATGACGCTACTTCCAAAACATGAGTGTTGATTAGTGTGGACATAGACACTTTTCTTGTTCTGTAGGGCACTGAAGGATGATATTCCAATGATATTAAATCTAAGATATTATGTCATCAACTGCCAAGTACTCTGCAGTCATTGGACGAAAGATTTTATGTTTTGCTATAAGTAAAAAAGTTAAATAAACTTTGTGGCACATTGTACCTTCTGCAACCATTCTCGTTTACCGTACTTCCAGCATTCTATAGCATGCACGTTGTGCTTTGATTGTAACTATACATTGGGAGATGATTTCCGGAAAAGCAAGCTATACAGGTTTCGTTGTGTGGACTAGGCAAATACAAAAAAGAGGTCTAACTCGTGCACACAAAAGCTTTGGTAAAAGTTCAGACATATTTCCACTTCCTTACCATTGCAATGTATGAATGTGCAAATGGACAAATAGAAATCAAGATTGAGATCATTTTTGTCATAAAAATAGAAGAAATATTTTCCCAGATGGTTCTGTGGTTTGTGTATATACTTACAGGCTATCGTTGTATCTTGACATTTTTTGAATAAAAGAAATGTACATTGTTTCTTCTAATGGTTTTGTTCAAATTTTAATCGATGTTGTATGGAGAGACTAACGTACATTGTATTCTAAATCCTTTTCCTCTTACAATTTGAAATTTCGTATGATATTCTACATATATCAACACGTCTTGGATATGAATTTTGCATTCATATTTTGACTAATTGTGTGTAAATGAAATTAGATGAAGAACAATTGTTAATGCAAGTGTGATCGCAAATTAACATGATGTTAGTAAATTGTACAAATCATAACATAAACATAGATTTCTATTGCATTCAAATGGGAAAAATAAGTTTTCTAGAATTATTTTTGGAAAATGTGTCAAATATAGCATTATACTAACATAGATTTTATATATATATATAAGAAATATTACAATACAAATGAATGGAAATGAAATTTGATGTCAAAAGTCAGAAAATTTTAAGTCATTTTTTGAAATATATATTTATATTTAAGTTTGATTTGATTCATGACTTCTTTAAACCTTATCCAATCCTTACTTTTTATCTAAATTTTAATGAAATATAAAAAAAATACAATCTCATGAATCATGTAAGAATAATACTTATCTATTTTATATTTACATATAAATCAAACTCAGTAGTTATGTTTTGCTTATTTTTCATTCAATTAACAATTAATCAAGTATGAAATCCGTTAAATACAAAGAATAGTTAGAATGATGACAAACCGCAAGAATGAATCAGATGTTTTGCAAAGTATTTTTTGCAAAATATTAGTGTGTATTTTCAATCTTCAAGTATAATAATACATAATGTGAAGAATTTGCAATAACTACCATGTGAAACAAGATATTTTGCAAGATAATTATAAACATCAATGTGAGATTAGAAATCATTTTTGACCATTAAAAGATTGTGGTTAATGGTTTATAAGGAGCAAAGGATGGGATAATGAAGTATTTAAAACAGATGATGTAAAAAACAGGTATTGAAACTATCCAAGTATAGGCAGTAGAACTTGAATCTCAAACAAGCAATGATGAATCAATGCTTGTGTAGCTTTACACAATAACTTATAATTAAACACACTCCTCATTTGACCTGCCATACTTGAACCTTGAACTCTTGGAAAGCAAATCTAAGATGCATTTAATCACTAGCTCACATCTATGAGCATGCATTGGATGAACTTTTTTTGTTCATCGACTATAAGGTCGATATGATCTGATAAATAACAATGCTCCAATCAAAGAGCATGTTGTCAAATCTTTTGGAAAAAATTTGCTACAGATAAATTGACGAGCTCATAGTGTAAAATTGGAAAAATTGAATTCAATTCACTTATTGCTTTATTGTTTGGATCTCGATAAGCATAAATTTCATGAATTTGACAACTAACGGTGATGTAAACAAGGGCGATATTGTGTTGAAGATCGTTTAGATTGCTTTTTTCGGCTTTGTTAAGTAAGATTTCAATCTTTAAAGTCAAATCAATGATAAATTTTTCAACATCGGATGAAGCAACCGCATAATGACCAACGATGACGTGAGTCGATAGATCGATATTCACAATTGATTTTGCATTGAGCGATCCATTAACTCCAACGTTGTTAGTGAATGTTGCAACAAGGATATACATAACATAACACATGTAACATTTCAAATAGACAATTTTTACAAAGATCAATCTTCAGTGATTATTTACTTTTAACAGAGTACAAAAAATGTCAATTTAATAATAGGTCATAAGTGATTATTTTCATTTAATAGTGAAAGAATTTCTAAATTTGTAACCAGCAGCTCTTAATGTTAAAAAGTATTTACGTTTGAAATCACCTTACCTATGTCAATGCCAACAATCTCTTCAAATTCTATTTGTTCGCAAGTATGAGAATAAAGACCACATTAGTTTTTGTGAGAGACATAAAAAATTTACACAACATGATGTTAGCTGCTTTACTTAACAAACTGATATAAACATCTACTCACATGACAAATTCACATTGTCAATACCATCACACAACATTATCAAAACTATCTTGCAAAAAGTGATGACAATCGTGAACCAAAGAGATTCAACAGTAAAAATTGACTCAAAATTCCATTAGACTCAACAAGTCCATTATAGAATGGTCACTTTTACAAGTAATCAGGAGCAAGATGAACAAGATTGTAAGATAGCAAAAATTGACTCAAAATTCCATTAGACTCAACAAGTTCATTATGGAATGGTCACTTTTACAAGTAATCAGGAGCAAGATGAACAAGATTGT